GGCTGCCACTCTCAACTGGCTCCAATGCCCATTTCCTCACCCTAACCTGGATGCACTAATGTGAACTTGCGCTTTCCAACCTTCTACCTATCAATTCTATCTGTCCAGAAATACAACAAATACTAAGATGTACTCCACTTAGAACCAAAGCAAGTCTGAAACACAAGAAAAATAACACTTAACAGTAACATTTACATCCTACTGCAAGATGGCAAAATTCCAAAAAACTTTTAAGAACTGTAAAGGAACATTTAATGGTCCCACACTTTTGCTGAAATACAAAAAATATTTTCTATAAATACCACATAAGAGAAAAATGTGCAAATCATGATAATTTATAGAAAATTTAAACCTGCCCTCAAATGTTTCTAGTTATCTAATGACACACTTTGGGTCTTGGGGAGAAAGGTCACCTCAAACCCCCTTCCTGCTGTTGTCTACACATCTGTCTACACTATGGATAACAGCTTTAGGACTTAATTTTTCAACTGATTAAAATGAGAACAACACACAAAAACTTGTTGGCAATCCAATACCATATGAAAGTCAACAGTTCTTAAACCCAAAAAGAAGTACATCCGATGGAACTCTGTGATGGAACTCTTCCTTCGCTGCTGTGCTAAGGCCAGAAGTCCACATGCTGCTTGCTGAGGCTTCTTGTTATGTCCACACCGTACACAGATCTCACAGTGCATTGTACTCCACACATTTTGATGGATCCGTAGGAAAGTGCTTTTGGCAAATTGTCATTAACCTCTTCAGTCCCTAAGAACATAAAATGAAGGTTTGTTATGACACAACCGAACTATTTCTAGAAGCTTTTCTCTGTAGTACTTAGTTTGTCAATGTCCCTATAAAGTAAAGTATCGCCACAATTCCCTTCAAAAGGATAAATGCTTATCCATGAGCACTGCTTATCACAACATCATTAGTGGAAAATACATATTCTAAGGGCTGTGATGTTAGCCCTTCCGAGTTTGGTGGAGAGAAGCATATTCAAAGATGTGGCTCTCCCAGAAAAGTCTTCCATATCTTCAAAGTTAAAGAAGTGATATAAAAACTCTCGAGAAAAATGAAAAATGACCTCGTCCACTCAAGTCATGGAAAGGTTACCTCTGTATATACTACAATTTTTGGTTTGAAACTTAAAAAACAAAAACAAAACAAAAAACAAACTAGAAGGATTAAAGTAACCTAGAAATAATATAGTTTTCCATCTGTATTGAATAAATGAACGCTCTCACCAATGGAGTCCTTAGAGCAGAAAAACGCACTAACTCTAGCCCCTAGTAATTCAGCCCTCCTCAAACAGGTCCCAAGAAAGAATTAAGGACAACCACTGAAGGTGGTAGCATCTCTCTTTCGACTTCTCCTTTGGTCTGACCTTTCCAAGTGCTTAGCTGGCCATTAGACTGTAGTTCTTTTTCTTAGCTTTCTCAACAATCACTAGGTGAAAAAATTCCTTCCAAGCCCATATACAAATTCTCTGTATCCCTTAAAAACAGGTCAAGGACAATGGCAGAGGCTTGCTGCAAGCCCCATAGATTTTTCTTGAGAATAAACTAGAGAGGAATTTACAATCAGAAAAGAATCCCATTAATTGTTTAATCAATTTCCAAATTCCCCTGTTTACAAGGAATGTTTGTTACAAGCCTTATTGAAATCTTTATAACATTATTGACTAGTTATAATACAGCAGTGCTTAATTTCAATGATCCTAACCCATACCAATTTTTAGCACAAATTGTTTCAAGGTTCTTCATTTTAAGTTCACAAAAATTAAAACCACCCAGTTCCTATCACAGTAAGAAAAATAATGTAATTTAGGCCTAGAATAATAACATTGGCTATAAGAGAACATCTAGCATATTGCTTGGTATTTTGGTTAGTATTCTCCTCAAATTTACTTTCTTCCCTCAAAATGGCATGCTAGGGCAACTTTAAACAAAAGATTCATGACCCAGTGGGTAAGAACCACAGGGCTGCAGTTATACAAACCAGTAACAGAAGAAAACAGCTGGAAATCCAGGAAGAAAGCATTAAAAATAGCATTGGATACCTAAAATTCCATTATTTAGAACTCTGAAACTCTAATATTCAAACAACTTTTTTATTTTTGCTTTTGTTTTTTGTATATAATTTTAGACAGGGTCACACAAGCTGCCTAGGCTGGTCTGGGGCTCCCAACTCAATGAAACCATCAAAAACAAACTACATCAGTTTGTTTCCTAGTAAAAACTGGTAACACAGATATCAACTGCTGTGAACAGAGCTATGATCTAATAGATTCAACATCAGTGAAACATGACATTAAAATAGTTTAAGTCCTTTCCAGGTCCAAACATTGCCCACATTGAGCTGTCTGAGAATCAGCATGTGCAGAGGTAATCTTTCCACTGACTTCTAGGATAAAGTGCTTCCCAGCAGTGGGAAGGAAGAGCATATAGTTTACTTTGCTCCGGATTATTTCTTCCACTAGCCAGATACTTGTTTGAGGATAAAGAACTTCCCTTCCATACTCCCAACTCCCCCTGATGTTAAGTTCTAATCACATGTGTGCAGAATCTGAAGTGTAGCTATGGAAACACATAAGACATTGCTGATTGCATCTCTAAGTGGCCTGAAGGACTAGACAGAAGAGAGGTGCAGCTAGGAAAGAGGAGACGCAAGGGCTTCAGTCAGCAGCCAAACACGGCATGAACTGTTCTGAACAAGGAGCTGGCTGTGGGCATGTTCCATAACTAGAACCTTAGCACGCTGCTCTCGGAGAAGACATTTATGAGGTGCCTTTACACTCGGAGTCTAAGAACAGCCACAGTCACAGGCCTAGCCAGGAACACTACTACAAATCCTTGTAATAAGGATTGATAGGTTACCATGGATTTTCAAGTGTGTCATTCTCAGGACACGTTTTGTTTGTTTGTTTTGTTTTCCCCAAATGGAAACAAGTCTTTTTCCTTTTTTTTTTTTTAAGTCTTTTTCCTTTTTTTTTTTTT